TTACCATAAATGGTAGTTCAGAAGAAAAAAGTGTGACGAAATAAACAATGAAACAAAATAAGCAACAGCAGATTTTGAACAAACTGAAAAATTTGACCCATAAAAAATACAAAAATATCTTTGCAGTAACTGGACTGAATAAATTAAAGTTTTCTACACTCMTACACTATAATTGCACAAAAATAGTTTATAAATGCAAAAAAAGTGCATTTAGCATGATATGTCTCCTTTTAAGGAAATTAAGGAAAGTGTGGGCCTCCTGGGTTAAAACTGCTTTAAGGCCTTATTAACCCTTATTTAAAATATAATAGTTACTTGTTAATACGTGTTAATTTTAAGATTTGAAGTAACACACACAGATGTGCTTTAATGTAACAGCCAAAGTCTGAAGCACAGGGAAAAAAATAGACTATAGTGATAAGTGGCGTACGCAAGTTTCTGGGCTCAAATTGTGCGTACGTCAGTTTTATAAATCCGACCCCTGGTCTTTGAGGGCCATTATCCTGCAGGTTTGATGATTCTTTGCTTTGACACACCTGATCTGAATGAACAGTGATTACCAAGTGTCTGCAGACCTTGAATATCTGCTGAAGAGCAAGGAAACCACTAAAACATGCAGGATAGTGGCCCTCGAGGACCACTTGGACCTGCTAGCATAAATTGAGAACTTCTGCTTTTTCAACGTTAACATTTTTAATCAGCCATTTCTGCACAAAACACAAGTGGAATTGAACTGCTCTCCACTGAAACTCAATATCTTCTTTTTTTTGTGAACCACATAACTTGAAAATGTCATGAAAACGAAAGAAAGGGTCAAGATAACTGTATATCTGTAAGCTGAATAAAAGGCAGCGAGATTCATTTATAAAGCAGCATGAACACTTTGTTCTAATGATTCAAGAATAAACATAAAAATAAGTTTGAACTACAGAGTTGTTTTTTTTTCTGAAATGACAGTAAACATACTACCTAGCTTTATGAAAAATAATTATGTTGTCTGACAGAATAAATGGCTTTTGCTGTGAAGAAAAAACAGAATAGTCATAAAATATCACTGCTTCAGTCTGTCTTTAAAAATATGTACAATCCATTATGGCTCAAAAGTACAGACTAAATTAAGTTAGTACAAGTAATAATGAAAATTGTAAAATCTCTGAAGCAAGTTAAACAAAAACCCACCCAAAATCACTACGCAGTTGATAATTTACAAGAAATTGAAAAATTAAAAATAAATAAATAAAATTCCAGTGATGTGGGCTTGCAGCACATTAGAAAGAAATAAAATGGGGTATTTGGAAAACAAATGTTCATTAAAACAATTCTATTTTTGGATGCTAAACTTTGAGGCCCTGGGCTGCTGCCCTGGTAACCCTTTTAGAAAGTCTGGTCTTCCCACAGGTGTAATTTGCGGAGGGTGTATGACCCACACAATAATTTGATCCAGTCAATATAACCCTAACACCACACACACACACACCTCCAATAAAATGACATTTGCTCAAACACAATAGAAACTGATTAGACAAACGCAACTTTCTTGTTGTCTGTAGGGAACTTTGACCTGATTTGAAAATTTACAATGTCATACGTTTAAGCATTATTGCTGAAAATGATATGCAGGGTTTTAGAACATAACCCAATGGCATACTTAAAGTTACGCCCTTGAGTCTTGCTGATCAGCCACATAAATATTTTTCTTTCTTTTTAGGCGTAACATCCTAGGAAGTTTAGTTAAGTGCTACTAAAGTTGGTAGAAAAGGGGTCAAATACAGTTGAAGTGTAATATTTATTTATTTATTTATTTATTTATTTTGCTTATTTTGCTTATTGCAAGGAGTACAATGTTTTCATAACTAAAGCATTTTTTAATCACTTTTGCAGTGATACTGCAGGTCTTTTGTTACACTCAGTATCTTCCTACTGTAGCCCAGAAGGGACAAACCCCACTGTCATTTCACTAAGTTCTTGTCCTAGATGCATGAAAGTGATTGGAGAGTTGGAGGTGTTGAATTGATTATAGCTTCAGATTGAATCTGTTTGATGTTATCTTGTCTTTCACATTGAAGTCTCAAAGTTTTTATTTTAATTACTTTTTTAATTTAGTAAAAACCTTTAACACTGATGATTGGGTCTGTGACCTACTAATGAAAGTACTGCAGTATACAGGTGCTGGTCATAAAATTAGAATATCATGAAAAAGTAGATTTATTTCAGTAATTCCATTTAAAAAGTGAAACTTGTATATTATATTCATACATTACATACAAACTCATTTATTTCAAATGTTTATTTCGTTTAATTTTGATGAGTACAAATGACAACAAATGAAAATCTCAAATTCAGCATATCAGAAAATTAGAATCTTGTGAAAAGGTTCAAAATGGATGGCACCTGGTACCACACTCTAATCAGCTAATTAACTCAAACCACCTGCAAAGGCCTTTAAATGGTCTTTCAGTCTAGTTCTATAGGCTACACAATCATGGGGAAGACTGCTGACTTGACAGTTGTCCAAAAGACGACCATCGACACCTTGCACGAGGGCAAGACACAAAAGGTCATCGCTAAAGAGGCTGGCTGTTCACAGAGCTCTGTGTCCAAGCACATTAATAGAGAGGCGAAGGGGGGGGAAAAGATGTGGTCGAAAAAAATGTACAAGCAAGAGAGATAACCGCACCCTGGAGAGGATTGTGAAACAAAACCCATTCAAAAATGTGGGGGAGATTCACAAAGAGTGGACTGCAGCTGGAGTGAGTGCTTCAAGAACCACCACACACAGACGTATGAAAGACATGGGTTTCTGCTGTCGCATTCCTTGTGTCAAGCCACTCTTGAACCACAGACAGCTTCAGAAGCGTCTTGCCTGGGCTACAGAGAAACAGGACTGGACTGCTGRTGAGTGGTCCAAAGTCATGTTCTCTGATGAAAGTAAATTTTGCATTTCCTTTGGAAATCAAGGTCCCAGAGTCTGGAGGAAAAGAAGAGAGGCACTTCATCCACGTTGCTTGAAGTCCAGTGTAAAGTTTCCACAGTCAGTGATGGTTTGGGGTGCCATGTCATCTGCTGGTGTTGGTCCATTGTGTTTTCTGAGGTCCAGGGTCAACGCAGCCACATACCAGGAAGTTTTAGAGCACTTCATCCTTCCTGCTGCTGACCAACTTTTTGGAGATGCAGATTTCATTTTCCAACAGGACTTGGCACCTGCACACAGTGCCAAAGCTACCAGTACCTGGTTGAAGGACCATGGTATCCCTGTTCTTAATTGGCCAGCAAACTCTCCTGACCTTAACCCCATAGAAAATCTATGGGGTATTGTGAAGAAGAAGATGCAATACACCAGACCCAACAATTCAGAAGAGCTAAAAGCCACTATTAGAGCAACCTGGGCTATCATAACACCTGAGCAGTGCCACAGACTGATCGACTCCATGCCACGCTGCATTGCTGCAGTAATACAGGCCAAAGGAGCCCCAACTAAATACTGAGTGCTGTACATGCTCATACTTTTCATGTTCATACTTTTCAGTTGGCCAACATTTCTATAAATCCTTTGTTTTTATTGGTCTTCAGTAATATTCTAATTTTCTCATATGCTGAATTTGAGATTTTCATTTGTTGTCATTTGTAATCATCAAAATTAAACGAAATAAACATTTGAAATATATGAGTTTGTATGTAATGTATGAATATAATATACAAGTTTCACTTTTTAAATGGAATTACGGAAATAAATTACTTTTTCATGATATTCTAATTTTATGACCAGCACCTGTATATTTCCAATAAAACAAACGCTGAGGTCTGGGGTAACATTGGCTAATTTGCTTCTTGAAACAAAACATTTTGTGAATGAAGAGCTGAGGTTTGCAGTTATGGGTGCAAATAATACATTTTTACAAAAACAATTTTAATTTTTGTAATGTACTATTCAGTTTTTACTTTTTTGCCAAATTTTCTTCATTTTCAAACAGAACTTTCTTAACCACAATTTAACAATACAACCTAATTTTATTTAGATTTTGTCTTTTTATAAAACTATGTTTAACTTAAACCAATTAATCCCCCCAATGAACTACTTAATCCTTTGTTGTGCATATTTTCTAAAATTTCATGTTAAGGTGTTTATAAATGGGCTTTTTAAATGTTTACTTGCATAAAACTTTGATAAACAAACCAAGGAAAATAAATGTTTAAATGTTTAATGGTGTATTTTAAACTTTCTTTTCTGGTATGGAAAAAAAATGTCTTGACACAGCATTGAAGGACTTTTTAAAAATGTTTTTCAAGTTTCATCTTTAATTCTGCTTTTTAAATTTCAGATTTTTGTACAATTTTAGTTTGTTTTTTGTACAGGCAAACTGGTAATAGTATTAAAGCAGTTTATAGAACAATAATTAATAATTTAACCCCAGCATTAATATTAAATTTATTCAGAACAGAATGTGACATTGTTCATGAAATATGTCTGAAAGTTGTTTACTGACTGTTTCTTTATGTTTTTATTTGCAGATTCAGACGTTTCAGGTCCCTTCATGCAGCAGCAAACATGACCTAACAAGCGGAGTGGCCATCGCTCATGTTCTGCACAGAATGTAAGCAGATCTGGTTGTTTTTGTGGATAATGTGAGCTCTGAACAAATGGTTTGTAAAAGATTTGGTGTCCTCACACTGAGATTTGCTTATCTGTGGGATTTGCATTATATAGCTGTTTGGATTGTGGAAGTCCAGCATCCATGCAAAACCAGAACAACTTTAACTAAAAGGAAAAGAAAACATATTTATTCAAACTTAAACACCTTTTTGTATCTTGTGATGTTTAAATTTTCCCTTTTTATTCAGTTGACTGACAAACTGGTTTAAATTTCAAAATCATTTCTTTTTTGAACACTTTTTTTAATGTCATTCATCTTTCATGAACAGGTTTTTAGAGAAACAAAGACAATGCAGTGTTACCCTGTGGCTTTCCTTTATGTCCTGATGATCAGACAAATCTCATTTCTACAGTTATTCTCCTCTCGTTAACAGAGACCCCTCTTGGTTTAATGAGACGTGGCTCGGCAGGATCAAGGAGGAGAGCGAGGACAACTGGCGCCTCAAGGTAATTTACAAATCAGCAGGACATGACAGAGTTCTCAGTAGTTACCTAGAAAAAAATAGTTTTTTCTTTTGTTTAAAATGAAAATCCAGACTAAAACTTTTTTTTCAGGTCAGCAACTTGAAAAAGATTCTTAAAAGCATGCTGGAATATTACCATGACGTAAGAGGCTTTCATTGGTTTTATTTGATCTTTTTATATTTTCACTGTTTTGTTCAAAACCAAAGTGTAACGTCTCACATTTGTCTGCCTCGTTCAGGTCCTCGGTCATCAGGTGTCTGATGAGCATCTGCCAGATGTGAACCTTATTGGGGAGATGGGAGATGTCCCAGAACTGGGCAAGCTGGTGCAGCTTGTGTTGGGTTGTGCTGTCAGCTGTGAGAAGAAACAGGGTAAAGTGTCTGGTTAATAAAAATATATCAAATCATACAGGTTTACTCCAAGCTCAACACAATGAGCATCACAAGTTAATAAACATTTTACAGATTATAATTAAGGCATTCAAAATTGATCAGTACTTTCTGATTTTCAACCATCAGTTTAAGGAAATATTTCAGTCATTATAAAGAGGGTTACTTATTAAACAACCTCAGTTTGAAGAAATACATGATATTCTACAGCAGTTTTGAGCTGATGGCTGCTACAAACACTGCTGCCAAAATGTCCTAGCAGTTCATGTGAACACTTTTCTAAACCTTTACACAGCTGCCGGTTTCTCAGTGTCTGCTTATTTACATAGAATTTATTCTTTCTACAAAACCAGCAGCAGCTCACTGTTCTGGTTTCAGTGCAGCCAGGGGCACAACAAGGAGCACCTTTGTATTTCTGCTGAAATAATTATGCATAATTGGCTATTTTTTAAGATTAATATTGACAACAATTGTGCAAATCATAGTTGCATCAGAAGTAATTATGACATGCCTGCCAAATGTTCCCCCAGGCTTTCCATAAGCTAGCTGCTGCTGCTGCTGCTGCTGCTTGTTTTTACAGTTAAAGTTCTGTGGAAAAAAATGTGAAGCTGACTTCATAAAAAAGCTGTTAATATATCTTTTCACAGAAATCACGATGAAGTTTGGAAGATTAAAACTTTAGGCTGTCGGCAATCTATTTTAAATTAGCATTCAGTCAGCTTTTCAGTCCTGTCAGAAATTAACTTAATTTCTTCAAACTGACTAAACTACAACAGCTCAGATATTCATTGTTCATAACTTTTACACACACCCCACTTCAAAATGGACAAAATATCTTTTTGCTGAACTTCAGTTCTTTAACTTCAGACATGCTAACAAAAAAAAACACCTTTAACTGCTTTTTATTTTCAGGAGGAGTCACTGTTGATCTGTATTTGGCTGAACATGAACTGTTTTTGTCTTAATCTCCCTAATCCAGAGCAAATCCAGCAGATTATGACACTGGAGGAATCGGTCCAGCATGTTGTGATGACAGCCATTCAGGAGGTGAGAGATCCTCACTTATCCTTTGGGGTCTTTTTGCTTTATGTAAATTCAGCTCTTAGTCATGAGTGTTTCAGTCAAAGAACTGAAGTGAATCTCTCCCTTCAGCTCTTAACGAAAGAACCTTCATCTGAACCAGGAAGTCCAGAGACGTTTGGAGACTTTGACTTCCAGGTGAAGACCACAGTTTTACTCTATTTCTTACATTTAGTGGACCTGATGTCCTCTGTTTTTTGTATCTAAACTTTTATTTACTCTTGTTTCATCCATAAAAACTAAAAAATCCATAAAAAACCCAAAGTAAATTTAATTGTTGAAAAAAGGATACAAAAAGAAGAAAATCATATTAGCTTCTTTTTGTATATGTTAAAAAACAACTCCTAAAACTTAAACTTGAACAATCTCTATTTGAGGAAAATAAAGACAAATAACATCAGGAATCCTATATTCCACTAAACACTACATAGCATCATACTTATCATTATCGTGATGAACTACTGAGGTAATTCTGACACATTTTCATTTCTGTGTAATGCAGAAATATTGACTGCACTGTCTTTTTAAATTAATTAATTGAAGGAATGTCTTTGTTTCACAGTCCAGGAAGTATTATTTTCTGAGTGAAGAAGCCGATGAGACTGAGGGCCTGAGTCAGCGCTGCAGAAATCTTGAGCATCAGGTTGGTGGACCTAATGGAGTTTATTTAGTAAACATTTTCTGATTGTAATCATAAAGCTACCAGTTGACAAGTCCTACCTTGCTGTACCTGCTACTTTAAAGCCTCCTCGCGAGCAAAGATGAGGAGAAAAATGTATTTTTCAACCTCTGCCTCGAGGAAAGTTACCCCTGATTTATACTACACGCGGCTCCGCTCCGCTGCGCTGCAGTGCGGTGCAGTGCGCAGTTCACAGCTGTTCATTTGCAACCCAGTTTATACAGCGTCCGCTCCGCTCAGCTGTGACAGACAGAGGAGAGAGCGTGTGCAGGAAGGAGATTGCGCAATAAATCCAGTGATATATGTGGAAGTCAGAGCAAAAAATAATAAATTCTGTGAAAACTGAACTCCAAACACAGCTGAAAACATTGATATAAAGGCTTTTGATATCTATACTTGAAACTTTAATGAGACACTAGTTTAGTGGTTAAGTATTTAATATATCTTTGTTGTTTATAACAAAATAAATTTTGGGGGGATAAAATATAAAATCATGTAGACTTAAGTAAACATGACAGTAATTTGCTGAAATATTAGAAAGTTGGATTGCATAAGACGTGATTAGTGGTTTAAAAAGACTAAGATGGCTTACCTTCCATCTTTAAAAAGTTTTATGACAAAAATGTTTGTTTTTTTTTACTGGCTTGAAGCACCTTTTTAGAGTTTTAGTTTGTGCTGTACCTGCAGCATGTTGTTACATCTGTTTGGCTCCAACATTGGTGCTTTTTGCCCTTATTGATCAGCCTGCAGGACATTTTATTTATTTATTTATTTATTTATTTTAGTTCTAGAGCTTCACTGACCGTAAAGGGATGCATTTATTTCTTTATTTTTCCTCAAACATACTTTCCAGTCAATAGTTGCATAACATCAAGAGAAAACTGACACATTGCCTTGGGATAGATCAGTAGCCAACAATAATTTGTGCTGCTCTCAGCCCACCTGTTTGTTTACATGCTCAGCCCACGCGTTAGGGATTAGTCACTGGTGTTGTTTTAGGAGCTATTTGCTGTTACTGGTTCGGTGCTAAAGCATCCAATCTGTCCTTAAAGTTCTGTGTGGGGGTTTTCTGTGCTCAAACTCAAAGTGTGTCCTGAAAGAGTCTACTTTCAACTTTTTTTGTCCGTTATATGAGGATTAAAATGCAAGCTTAACTAAATCTAAAACTTTTTTTCCCCTGTCCTGCTGGAAATAAGAACATTTACACACAACTATTAGCAAAATCAGTTGGACAAAAAGCAGTATTACTTTTAGTCCACACACTTATCTATTTATATTATGAGGCTGGTTTAAACCTTATGGGTAAAAATGATGAAACTACTGAGAAACTTTTTTTCTGCCGGAGAACGTTAAAAATCAGCTGACTGGCTGCTTTTGATGACAGAGCATGTGAAATGACAATAAAGCTTGTGTTTAAAGTCCTCTCTGCCCTAAGGAGGTGAGACTTTACTGCTTGTCTTGTCTGAATTATCTCCCTTCTCTTGTTTCTAAAATGCTCTTTGTTTATATACTTGATCATGTTTTTAATCTCTGTACTTCTCCCTAGGATTGGTATTAGTCTGCTTTGTAACATTGTCGCAGTAAGTTCACATGCCAAGCCTTCAGCCCTCTCTCGGTATGTTTGTGCTCTTTCTCTGCTCCTCCGACAGCTGTCGCTGGGTGTGGAGGAGAAGTTATCGCTACAGGCTGAGATCTGTTCACTGAAGGAGAGGCTGAGTCGCTGCGACTCTCTGGATGCCTCCGCCACCGCCATCACCGGCAAGAAGCTGCTGCTGCTGCAGAGTCAGATGGAGCAGCTTCAGGAGGAGAATTACAGGTAAATAATGAAAACAACTAATACAAAGGGTAAAGACAAAAATGTACTTCTTTCAACCTGGTGTGTTTGACATGAGATTCAGATGTTTTTGTTTGGTTGTTTCTCATGAACTTGTGTGTCTCAGACTGGAGAACAGCAGAGACGATCTGCGTGTGCGAGCAGAGGTGTTGGAGCGCGATGTGGCCAACCTGCAGCACCGCAACGAAGAGCTGACGAGTCTGGCACACGAGGCTCAGGCTCTGAAAGATGAGATGGACATTCTCAGGTGAGAGAGCAGGTGTAACACACTTTAAATAATAATAATAAAATCCTGCTCCTTATGTGGTGAATTAGTCAAAATGCTGATCAGGTTAATTATATATGTGCAGACACTTTTCAAACTCATAAGTTTGTTCTCGGTGAAAGTGCAGAAAGTAACGCTTTGTGGTCGCTGAGTCACATGAACAGTGAGGGTTTGTGCTTTACAGCTTTTTTTATGCAGTTCATTCATAATTTATTGAGTGTTTCACAAACAAAGTTTTCATTTATTTGAAGTACGTAGACTGAAAGTAAGGCCCTGCAGGGCCTCTTGGAAGTTTTGAAATCATGAGATTGCCCACACACAGGCCTGTCACAGTACCAAATTTTGCTGAACAATGAATTGTCAGAAATTATCATAATAAACGATAATATTGTTTGGAGACTATTTTAAAGTAATGATTCCCCCACCCCTTGCTTGTGAAGTTTATGAAATTTGCATAAAATGACCTGGAAAACAACACAGCTGTAAAATCTCTTCCCACCACCTCCATCAAATCAATTGCAATTAATTCTGTCTTCCTCTGGCTTCATAAAATAACTGTGGTCACCCACACGCTGCTGATAAATTTTATAGGCATTTAAGACATGTTAAAAATTAAAAACAACTCTTGACAAACCTAAGGTTCATCATGGTGCCCTGAGGTGTCGCCAGCTGAAAGAAAGCATCAGAAAACCAAAGTCGCTCCTCTAGAACTAAAGGCCTGTTCACAGATCTCTGATGGTACAGAGGTGATGAGACCATGGGCCTGACAAGTACCTGATGCCAGAGTTCACTCCTCCCTACACCAAGGAGCAGAAGAAAACGAAGAGGCAAATGATAATTATTGACCTCATTTTAATTTATCATGCTATTAATTGATTTATGGACCATCAAGACGGGCTCACCCACACAGACACCTCTTTTGACATCTGTGTTAATATGAATTTCATGCCTTTGACACTAATTTGCGTCAGAATTATTTGTGTTCATTAAGTACATCTTCACACGGATGTTGTGTGTTTTATCTAAAAATCATATATTCCTGTTCTGGTACTCAACACCTCCCACACTCCTGCCTTCCTCCCCCTCAGGCACTCCTCTGACCGGGTGAACCAACTTGAAGCACTAGTGGACTCGTACAAAAGGAAGCTGGAGGATCTGGGGGACCTGCGCAGACAGGTGCGCCTCCTGGAGGAGCGCAACACGGTGTACATGCAGCGCACCTGCGAGCTGGAGGAGGAGCTCCGCAGGGCCAACGCCGTCCGCAGTCAGCTGGACACCTACAAGAGACAGGCAAGCTGTGGGCTCGTTCATCTGCTACCGTCCAAGTGATATTAAACAGAGTCTGGCTGCTGCATGTGTTTGTGGGTTTTTTTGTGTGTTTTTTTTTTTTTTTAAAGAGTCTTTCCAGACTGCGTTCTCTCTGACTTGCAGGCTCACGAGCTTCACACCAAACACTCAGCAGAGGCTATGAAGGCTGAGAAGTGGCAGTTTGAGTTTAAAAACCTTTATGACAAGTTTGATGCGCTGCTGAAGGAGAAAGAAGTGAGTAAATCTGGTTAGAAAATGTTTCAAACTGTGTGCAGGTGACTCCTAATTCTGGTTGGGTTTCAGTTAAGTTCTGTCTTTACTTCAAGTGTAGACATGTTGATTTTATTTCTGACAATTGTTGTGGATCAGCTCTGCTCTGTAGGAGGAATTGTTGTCGGGCAGATATTACACAATTGTTTTAGCAGACACCCACATTCTCTGTCAGTTTTTTCACTTCCTGAAATCTGACAGCAGTGATTTGTTCAGGATTACTTATGAAACTAATTAAGAAATAATAATGTCCTCATAGATTTTTACTTTTGTTAGTTCTTGTACAGTTTAAACATTTACAGAGCGATCTGTCCTGCAAACCTTGTGAAAACCTTGTGATTGTGGTTTGTTGTGCAGCGTCTGATGTCGGAGAGAGACACACTTCGGGAGGCCAATGATGAACTGAGGTGCGCACAGATCCAGCAGGGGTGTGTGAGTGGAACAGGTGAGAAACGTGGGTAAATAAAGAAAAGCAACAATGGATCATCTTCAACACTCTTTCATTCCAAAGAAAAACTTATTTGTGAGCCAATTGTTGGTGTAAAAAAAAGTCAATAGTGGTCTAGTGTGGTCTAAGTGATTTCTTGTAACCTTTTTTTCTTTGTAATTAAACAACTACGTGTTTAAAAAAGTGTAAAGTAAACGATGTTTACCTAGACTTTAAAAAATAAGTTTAAACACACTGACACTCATTAAACCCTTGTGTTCCCACCTCGGGAAACCATTGGTCAAGATCTATGTCAAATATTTCAGTTGTCCTGTTATAAAATGAGTGTTGTGCTTCTCTCTAGAGTTGGGAGACAGTGGAGTCGCAGTGGGAAACCTTGCTGCAGAGATTATGCCTACTGAGCTCAGGTTTGTGCCGTTTCCTCAGCTGGATCTGAGCTGAGATATGTAGAGAGGTGTGTGTGTGGACACATTTTTCCTACATTGTGGGGACCATTTCCCCGAAAAAGCAGCCTCTTGGGGACCGGGCATTGGTCCCCACGATGCATGTTACCGAATTCATATTACGGGTCAGGGGTTGGGTTTAAGACCAAGGTGTGAATTGAGTTTAGGTTAGTTACCTGTGAGGTCAGGGTTAGGCTGTAGAAGTTACTGTAAATGAATGGAAGTCAATGAACGGTCCTGATAAAGGTATACAAACCTGTGGTGTGTGTGTGCAGCAGATCTTTTCTTGGTGTATCTATCATTAACCTCCTGCAGACACAGTGACACATGTTTGCTTCAGAAGCTGAATGTGCAGCTGACAGTAGGCCAGTGACACATGGCACATTTGGCCTGGGTGTTGTCAGATTATAAATGTGCTCGTCTTTACAGACTCTTTATGTCCTTATTGCGCTTTGATCCCAGTTTTCCTTTTTTCTCTTTTTTGTCAGAGAGACAGTTGTGCGACTGCAAAGTGAAAACAAGATGCTATGTGCTCAGGAGGAGACCTACAGACAGAAACTTGTTGAGGTTCAAACTGAACTGGAAGAGGCTCAACGCAGCAAGAATACTCTCGAAACTCAGAACAGGTAGGTGTGTGTGTTTACAATCAGTTCTTGTTCAGCTGTTAGATAACCATTCCCCTTTGGGGCCACCATATTGTGTGTTCCTGGACTTAAAGCTGGTGGTTTGGCTGAGGGAAGGCGTGATATCTGCCTAAATGTCAACTCACCCTCTGGACTGTGTGTTCAACAGAGCTGTGTGGGCTGGGCTGGAGGACAGACAGCAGAAAGCCAGATTGTCCCTTGACTGTGTGTGTTTACATGCCTGTGGGCATGTGGACAAGTGGGTGGAGTGCGTGTGTGTGTGTGTGTGTGTGTGTGTGTGTGTGTGTGTGTGTGTTGAATAGTTTTTGAGTTATAAGCATGTTTGCATGTCCAGACACCCCCTTTTTAGATGGAACCCCCTCCTCAAATATGGGGTCTTTTGTAAAACCTTTGGCTGGCGCAGTGTAGATTGGACATCCTGTTCAGCATGCGGGGGTCATAATAATGGTTAAATCGGAGAAATACAGACTTATCCCCAAGTTCTGGCAAATAAAGAAAAAAAATAAAGAGTTTATGTTTTTTTTAAGAGTTTACAGAGACAAACTTTGAGTTTTTTATTCTTACTTTGACAATTTTAGAATAACTTATTCTTCCCTCTCCTTATCAGGTCTTTTTTTAACAGCATTCTGCAGACAGTGCAAGTGAGTTAGACATCATCCTGTACAGGAGTCAGGGAAGTAAGATAGGAATCAGTCACTGAATGAACTGTCAGGTTAATAATGTAGCTGTCAAATGTGCCAGCGGTCAGGATAGGTTCACTCAGCTTTAAGCCTTTAAGCATAAAACCTGATCTTAAAGTATCAGAAATAAGCACATCTTTAAAAACACTTCATGTTTCAGTGAGGTGCACTATGATGAAACTATGTCAAAATAATGTAGCGGTATAGAAGTGACTTTAGTTTGTTTTGCGCCATCAAATATGGGTAATTTTTTTCTTTACATTTGAGTTCTGAAAAGAAAAAAAAAACATGACCTTGCAAAACAAAAAGAACAAAACAGAACTAAACCAGAGCAAACATCGCACACAGAGCCGGCTCTTGGCATTGGTGAACTAGGCGGTCGCCTAGAGTGCCACCTGCTGGAGGGGGCGCCGAACTGCAGAAGAAAAAAACTTAATTATTTGTAATCCCTGGTTGTAACTCTGCTCAGCGCCCCTTTCAGTTAGCTTTCTCTTAGAAAACTATAATGAAGTATTACAGGAAAAATAAACTACTCTACCCATAAAACATCCCACCCCAATGCAGCAAACGCCCCCACCCACACTCTCATTTGATTGACGTTGCACTGACCCGTCCGGCTCCGACACGCTGACGGGGGAGGGGCTAGTAGTGCCTCTCAGGTAGCGGTTCATGTTGACAAACTCAATAACAACAAGTATTTTGTTGTCCCACACGTCAACCTCTTCGGATGTTTATCTGTATAAAAAGCCTCAAAAATCCATAGATTTTGCAAAAAAACCATACAACTCGCACCCAGGTGGGGGGGGGGGGTGCAAATAAATCTAAGTTTACCATAGTACCTTACACTGTCAAAATTGTTTTTAGGGGTTCAAATTGGGGTGAGTGGGACATAGNTGTGTGTGTGTGTGTGTGTGTGTGTGTGTGTGTCTGTGTGTCTGTGTGTGTGTGTGTGTGTGTCTCCATCCATTGCAACACCAGGCAGAGGGTGTGGGAAGCATCCACAGTAACAGGAGGAGAGAGGAGTGGAGTGAGCATGCTCAGTAGAGCGGAGCATTGAATGGCCAGGTGGCACACTGGCTTTAACTGATCAAACCTCCTTATAACAGACGTACAAAAATCCATGTCATTTGTTTCCACAAACAATCAAACGGAGCTTTGACCAGCGCTCAGCAACACTGTTTGTTTTTTGTTTCTTCTTCATAAATATTTTCTCTCAGCTGACCTCGGTCTGAACACATGTCACATTTCATCAGACTTTACCTCAGTGAGGTGGGGGTGAGCAGATCAATCCTTATAAAAATTATGCGAACCTTGAGTCAGGCAGTTTAAATCTTGTAGCTCCACATGTCTGGTTGTGCAGTTGCTTTATTTTAATTTTCCATGTTCTGGTCAGGATGACTGAGAGTTCACAGGAACATCTGATAGTAATGTAGTCAGACCGTATTGATATTAAAATTCCTCAAGTGTTAATTTACTTCCAGCTTATCGCTTCATTCCCAAAATAAATTCGGTATCTGGTCAGAGGTGGGTTCAAATGTAAACGGTGAACTAAACAAGCATGTCAAATGACTTATTTAATGGGTTCTGATTGCATAAAACTTCAGAATTGACATGCTAACAAGTAGCATCCATGTTTAGCTACTTCTGTAAACAATGAGCTGAATGTGACGTCACGTCATCTGCACATCTGGAGAGTTCACACTGGAGTCAGATGGAAGTTGCATTTAAAATATGTGAACATTAATGCAAAAAATTCTGATTTTTGGAGAAAAAAATCTGAATTAAGCATTAAGACCTGCAGTGTGAACGTAGCCTGTAATCTTCCTTTCATATTAACTATAAACCTTTGTTTACACTGTGGCTGAATTCCTCTGTTAAATCTTTGAATCACCCTGAACAACTTGAGTTTTAAATAGGCAAATTTACAACAGTGACAATATGTCATTTTATTTTGGTAGGTTTTAATGGTTTAAAATGAGCCTTGGCTGTCCCACTTCTGCACACAGTAAATTCTGCATCATTTGAAGTGAAAATGTAGATGTTAAATATATATGAGAGGTGTGTTTTTTTTTCCTGCTTTGAATAAGTTGTCTCTACTAGACTGGACCACTGTATAAATAAAACTATTTTAAATCCAAGGAAGGGGGATCAAAACTAAGATTTCATTAGTCATTTTCCCAGAATTTTTGAGTAATGACCTCACATACCTAAAAGGTTCTGCAGCAAAAATGGTACAGGAATGTTTTCTTTTAATATAAATACAACTCAAATGATTGTGTTCATCATTATAAACATTTACTGGTTTCCATTCTGACCTTTTTCTCCCATCTCGTGTGTGTGTGTGTGTGTCCAAGGTTGAACCAACAGCAGATCTCAGAGCTGCGTTCTCAGGTGGAGGAGCTCCAGAAGGCGCTCCAAGAGCAGGGGAGCAGGAATGAAGATGTGAGCAGAAGAATCTGTTTTTGTCTCCATCACTTCAGCTGATTTTACATTCTTCAGAGCTAATTATTTTTACAATCAAGCTGTGCAATGGATTTGGTTTTTTTAATTCGTGATGGCTGAACCTATAGTGTTGTTAACTACCAGCTGTTAGTTTGTGTTGCGCTCTGTTTTCTCAAACGATTACCTGTTGAGAGCTCTTGGGTTTTGAGGACTGCAGTGTTTGATACATGCTGTGTGGGACTTTAACCCGTGTTTGCTGTGGTGATTCACTCTAACGCCTGCCCCTCTCTGTCTCTCTGCGCCTGCCCCCATCCATCAACTCTGCCAAAATCAGGCCATTGTAAGTACGGCCCACCCTCTGTCCAACTGGCCCATGATTTGAATCGAACAGCTTGACTGTCACGGCTCACATTGGCTGTGATCTGATGCAATTCAGAAAATGTACATTTTAATGACCTTTTCTTTCCTCCCTCTTTTTATGAAGTCGTCCTTATTAAAGAAAAAGCTGGAGGAGCATTTGTAAGTAATGAACTGATGGTTGCTCATTTATCTGCTGGGGTTTCAAACTGAGGTCACGTGACTCCATTCTGTTGTGATTGTTTCAGAGAGAAGCTCCATGAAGCTCACTCAGACCTCCAGAAGAAGAAAGAGGTCATTGATGACCTCGAGCCCAAAGTGGACAGCAACAGTGAGACGTTTCAAATAAAAGCTCAGATTATTTTCTGCACTTGCCAGGATTTGGCTTCCTTCTCTTCTAAACATTTTTCCCCCCAGTGGCCAAGAAGATCGATGAACTCCAAGAGACTCTCCGCAAGAAGGATGAGGACATGAAGCAGATGGAGGAGCGATACAAACGCTACGTGGAGAAAGCCAGAACGGTCAGTCCAACAGAACACTCATCATGAGATTTATATTTAAAGGACCGTGCCACCAATATTAAAACAAGCTACATTAGTTTTTACCATTTTACTTTGTTTTCACATTAGGTGTTATCGCCCGTGTTTTTACCTGTCTATGTTAGTAAAATATCTGAATCACTGGATGGTTTTTAACTCTTGGAGTGTCCTTTTAACCTTAAAACCATTAACATTCCTTAGGGGAAAAAGTTTACTGTACTTTACATAGCTACTTAAACATAAAATATTTATTAAAAAATCTATATAAAATGTATTTTTTAACTCTTTAAAAGGACTTGGCAATTTTTCCCCCTAAACATTTATTTTTTTAAATTGACAAAATAGTTATTCATTCATTCACCCCTAAAGAACCATCCAAGGCTTAATGAAACTCTAATCACTAAGTGAACATCTGAAGCAGATTAACTTTTAGGGTCAACCTCATTCAACATGGCTGCCACGTCTAAGCCCACATGGCAACACTAAAATGGTTATAACTCAGTTTAAAAGATGTTAGGCAAACATTTGGGTGCATTAGTGAAGCTCAACCTCAACACCTAACAACACATCTCACAGGGTTTGACCAAAATGGCTATAACTTCATCCTTATTTGGTTTTTTTTTCTGTTCAGAATCCTGACTTTAAAACCAAAGCATGTACTGAACTGTGATTTTTTTGCACTCCTGATATATTAAGCTTATAAAGTTCTTAAATGAAGCCCAGTGAGTCAGTAACACGAAGTTATGTTGTGGGCAGGAAGCAACACGATTCTCTGGTTTCTACATCTGTGATGATCTTTTTCTAATACTTCTCCATAGAATCTGATCATTTTTCAAAAATGTCTCTTTTTTTTTAATCAATCTGTGTTGCAGGTGATCAAAACCCTGGATCCCAAACAACCAGCGGTGAATCCCGACATTCAGGCTCTGAAAAATCAGCTGACTGAAAAGGAGAGAAAAATCCAACATTTGGAGGTATGCACCTTGTTTCTGTGTGCTTCCTCTGGTGCTTTATATCCTACAGATACATATTGATGCAAGGCTTTTGTTTTTGTTTATTTTTGCACAGCATGATTTTGAAAAGAGCAAGGTCAGACACGACCAGGAGGAGAAGCTCATCATTAGTGCCTGGTACAACATGGTGAGTGCAGAGATGCTTCCCTCGTGTTTCTTCTTGGCTTTCTGCTTCGTCTGACCACAACCTTCACCTCCAGGGGATGGCTTTGCATCAGAAAGTGTCTGGTGAGCGGTTGAGTTCTCCTAACCAGGCCCAGTCTTTCCTGGCTCAGCAGAGACAGTCCACCATGGCCAGGAGAGGCCTGACACGACACCTCCCCAGATGAGGCACGCAGGCAGGACCCTGGTCATAAAATGAAGTCACAGGAAAAGCGATTGCTTCAGCTGACCTCCCTGAACCTTGATGCCTTCACTTAATGCTGCAACACTTTTTTTTTTCTCCTCACGTGCTGCTGCTGCCCCCTGCTGGCTCTTAACGGTACAGGAGGTTTGTTTTGTGAGGAGCCTCTGGAGTTGGTACTACTGAGTTGATCAAATGTGAAGGAGGCTTTGTCACCTTTTCAGGTGACTTATTTCTTTTAGCCTCTTAAATTAACTACTGTTTAGGTTTTTTTTACATCTTTTATTATTGAAAAATATACATAAAAAACTAGTTTGATTAGATTTCTAGTTGAACTGTAGATGGTGTTGCGAATAAGTTGTCACATTCACTGAACATTATTTTCTTGTTAAATTAGGGCATAACATTTTTTGAAAGAGCATAAAATGTGACAATCTTTAAGGCTTCAGTGGGAGTTTTTATATTCAAGACACAAAATACAGGTTAATTCTGTAGTTTTCTCAGAAAACACCAAATCCTTTTATCGGATCTGTTGAGTGCCTTGCAGGAAAAAAAAATTCACATTATATAAAAGACAGAGGTATGAGATACGACCCCCGCCCCCTCCTTAATTTTTTTCCCTTGGAACATTTTACCACAAGTTGCATGATCTGCTTTTCAATTATTTTCTTTTTGTCAGCCGTCCATAAAGATTAATTAATTAATGCACTCACCACTTTATACTCAAATGTAAATTGAAATGTAGACTTGTCGTTGACTGCTGCTCAAAACTAAACTGGAAGGAAATGTGTACAAAGTCTTATGACAGGAAGTTAGAGGCAGATAGAAGCTTTTAAAATGTAGCACATTGATCAAACACTACATTTGTCTTTATTTACCTTGTCGCCTGATTTTTCTTTTTAATTTTAACCATTTTATTATTTTTGTTTCTCCCATGTCAGAGCTGCAGTTCTGGAACTTGTCCATGCCTGTAAATGTTTCCTGCTATAACCTATGCAGACCAGAGTCTTGCTGTTTGTTGTTCACAATTTTCTACTGATATTTAATTTGTTTTGCCTTTTTTTAAATTTGTATTTATGGTGCAAAATCATTGTTGTGGCACTTTTGCATGGTGTGAGGGGTTCACTTTTGGTTTGTTTGGATTTATACACTACTGGGTCTGATAGATTATAGCATGGTGCTGTCATACAGATCTGAGACAAGTTGAACACTTGTTGACCTTTGCACAACAAATAAATGGGATCTTAAAATAGTCTGTTTGTTTTTTGTTTTTGTTTTTTACTTTTAACAATAGGCAGAACAAAATAAAATGGGTACTTCAAAATAAAAGCACCAAAAATAAAATCAACCAGATGTACAAATGAGAGAAGAAAGCCTTGGAGCATTCTGGATTAATAGTTTGACATGAAGCTAAAATGAAGTAATCCTGCTAATTGCCCAACAGCTGCTCTTCTAGACCCCGAGGTTGATGACAGATTAACTGATGCTGTGGGGGAAGAATGGCACATTTTATTCAACTTGTTTTAAATGAGCAACAGATAATTGCTGTTTGGAGCCATTTCAAATCTTTAAAGATAAAAAGATCCTTAATGTCACATTAACTGTTGTGCTGTACTGAATTTTTTTTTTAAACTTGTCCTACTGAGGAAAGTCTCTGAAAGGCAAATTACTAATGACAAACCTGATTTTTAGGCACAAAGTTCATCCATTTTACTGAGCAAATAAAAAGCTGTAGAACTAGATTTCATGTTTATTTATAGAAGCTATTAACTGCTGTGACAATTTTTATTACTGTCCCTATTCAAGGAGAAACATCTCTTTTGCAACGGACACTTCATTTTGCAGCAAGTTTATATAAATCTTCAATGTAACAATGTTCTGTTGCTGGAGAAAGTAATAAAATTGGCACAGATGGATTTTATTAAATATATATTCCTGGTGAAACAGAAAAGGGGATTTACGATTTTCAGATGGAGCATGTAAGGGTAGAAGGTGAATGTCGGCATGCAGACCATCTGTGGGATGTTAGGAGCATGGCTCAGTTAGCCTCAGTTCAGTCCTGGATCTTTGGACCAGCAGTCTGAACAAATCCCAGCCACAGTAAACTGGTACCACTCAGACAGCTTTGACCTGTCCTAAAATCATTCAGTTTTTCCTTCATCTAGAATAGACACATTATTGTAAGGTATTTTCAGTGGTGGGCACAGTTCCCCTAAAGCACTAATAGGGGAACTAATTTCCTGATTAGTGCTTTAGGGCTTTTGCTAACTTTAATACAATTTATTTAATGATAAGTCTTAAGAGAGCAACATGTAACTCATGTCTGTTGAAGAATGTTCATGAGCTGACTGGGTTATTTTTGTGCTTTAGAATTAGCTTTTGCTAAATCAAGAAGAAAAAATAAACAAGTCCTCTGGATGGGTTCTTCTTTAGTGAAACGTTACGTCTCTCCTCCAAGAGAATTCATCAGTCTGATGAGTTTCAGTTGAAACTCAGCCTTATAAGCACTGCCTCCGCCTGGACAAACAGGTCAGTCAAATGCAAAATAGGGCCATCGACTAACAATAGGCTTGATTGGCTCTATTGTTCATACAGGGTCATGTGTCCCATCACATGACCTTTTAGTTTTAGCTTTTGCTAAGACTTTCAGTGTCTTATAGTGAATAGTGCTGATATTATAAATCTATTCATTTGATCACATATGTATTACTATTCATATGATATACAGTATGAATAGTGCTTCAGAATTAGGGGACCTAAGTATTTGAGTTAGTGTTTTATGGATAGAGGAACTAATTTTTAGATTAGTGCTGCCCACCACTGTGTATTTTTAATACATTTTTTCAAATTTATTCACCACCACTGCCTTCTTCAAACGCGCTTCCGGTGAAGGAGGTCACTTGCCACAGCACGGGTGCAGTTTGCGACGCAACACCGGTGCAGTAGGCGGTACCACTGTCGTGACGTCAACAGAAGAAATTAAACATGGCCGACAGATGGTGATAGTAACAAAAGTTAGCGACGATAAAAACCTGCAAACTTCGATGCGAATATTTGAGCATTCCTGCGCGTCTTCTTTTCGGTTTTGGATGGTGGTCAGTCTCATGTGGGATTTTGAGGTTGAACGTGAGTCCTTTGGTCCGTAAAGACACTCACCGACACGGGCTTTAGCCGGCCTCGGCTCGGTGGTAGCTAGCATAGCAATAGCAACCAAACCAGCGCCCGCTATTGTTTTTGTCGAAATACGTCCAGAGAACTGGACTGAATAAACATTTTTCTGATTTTTTTTTAATACAAAGGCTTACAGTCTGCAGCTATTCTGAATATTTTTTAGATCTAATTAGAATTGTGCTTGGTTGGACTAGTCACCAAACAAAACCTTGCTCGCCGTTGCCTTGGACTGTACCTGTTTGCAAACCCAGGAGAGATGGACCCGAAGCGAGCGCGCGGCAGATCGTCCCACGCTAGCGGCGCGAGCAGCGGGGACTCGAGCTGCGGCAGCCCGGCGTCCCCGTCGAGCAGCCCCGCGCAGCCGGCGGGCCACGCCTTGCTGCCCGCGGCCAACGCGTTCGCCAACGACGGCAGCTTCATGGAGCTCTTCAAAAAGAAGATGGAGGAGGAGAAGAGGAAAAAGGAGGCGCAGCAGGAAACAGGTGGAGATGGAGCCACCGAGCAGGGACAGACCTCAGAGGAAAAGAAGGCTCCTCCTGTGACCTTTGTAAGGGGTTTAGCAGTTGTAAGATGAGATAGTTCAGCTCATGCACTCAGTTTACCTGACATTTGAGTTTATACTTTGTAAAATATTGACCCAGTTGTGGTAAATATTATAGTAATTTGCCAGTCATATTTTACAATTCCTTATAAACTTAAATATTCAACAATAGGTGACTAAAGATTAGGAATGCTTCCCACTAGTGATGGTTTCACTGGTGGTGCAGCAGGAGACTAAATGTAGCCCCTCTGCTCTGGTATAGTTTCCTTCATTGGCAATCCACCTGCAAGGACCCCTGTAACGGTTTCAGTCTTCTATCCCCTAACCCAGGTGGGGAAGCGCCGAGGCGGTGTGTTCCTAAAGACCGGCATGGTTGCAAAGAAGCAGAAACAGGATGCAGATGTAAGTGATGACATGTTTTTGTCTGTCTCTGTCTGTCTGTCTCCTAATAGACTCCTGTCGTCTTTTCTGCAGGCTGAGCCAGGCAAGAGCGATGCTTGGTCAAAGTACATGGCTGAGGTGAAAAAGTACAAAGCCCACCAGTGTGGTGACGACGACAAAACCAGACCTCTGGTCAAATAGGCCCCCCAAACAGGTGAACATGTGAAACCAGAATGCTTTTGGGAGAAGTCCACCCAGGAGGAGCTGCAGGGGGGATGGCCTGTACTGACCCTCTCATACTGCCTGTACAGGCAGTCGTTCCCTTGGTGTTTCACAAACTGTTTAGACTGAAACACTTTTCTTTTGTATTCTTATTGATCTGCATTTTTYTTTTTTTTTTTTTTTTTTTTTTTTTTTTTGCTGGTGTCAAAAGAAGTCTAAAAAACTTGTTTCCAGGTATTCTGATCCATAAGGTTTGTCATGTCTGATTATTGTCTATAATTCAAACTGATTTGGAAACCTGGTCAAAGGTTCAATTGAATTAAAATTCTTCCTTTCCTTGATTTTTATTTTATTTTTTTGTAATAAAAATGGGTGTAAGGCTGGACAAGATGCCTCCAAAGGTTCCTCTACTTTTAGACAGCCTCGTTTGGTAATTTCAGTATTTTTCTAGAGGGGTTTACTCTCTGAATACCAGACTCTGTTTAGATGTGTAAAAAATGTAAAGGTCTCAGTTTATACTCTTAATATTGTGGCAGAAAGTGTTTAACATGGAAGTTAAGACTTCTTTTTTTTTTACAAGATGCACCTCAATGCCACATAAAAGCTCTGTTTAGGATGTAGATTTCAGGAAGACAGGAATGGTTCATATTTTCAGAAGAAGGGTTCTGTGGAAAATGTTTTTGAGAAATGTTTTTTATACCAAAGATAACTTGTGTTGTCTTAAAACAAGTAAAATCAGAACATTTTCATAGCACTTTGTGACTGCAGTCAGGCACATACTGGTTCCGATAGTTGAAATTCTACAACTTGCAGAGTGGAAGTAGTGACAGTAAGATGTAACACTTCCTGTCGTACTTCATGCTGAATGACTGGTGTAAAAGTTTACCTCACAAGAGTTCGTTTGAATGATTTCTACTGTTCAGTCTCTCTTCCAATACAGATTTTGCTGTTTTGCTTATGCAGTTCTGAAATGTGTTTTTAGATTCTAGCAGAAACATGAAACTCAAACTGAAAGTGCTCTCAGGCTACACTAGAGGTGCTACAGCTAGTTGCTGCTACTTGATGAAAGTATGATAGCTGGATTGTTATAAACAGATCGATGTGACCTTTTTATCTCACAGACGTTTGTGTGTCTGTCATACAATAATGATCCCACACTGCCTCCAGACTGATCTACATCAAGGGCAGCAGGTCTAGATTTAGTCTGGTGGCTGGGAGGGATTTTCCTCACACTGGTTAGTTATCTAGAAATGCTCTGACCAAATACGTGAATGTTAGATTAATTGGTAATTGTCCCTAGGTGAGAGAGAGTGAATGGTGTCTTGTCATGTCCCTGTGATGGACTTGACTTGTCCAAGGTGTTCCTCACAGTGACTGCTGGATATGGGCACCAGTGACCTCGAAAGGAAGAAGCAGGTTAAGATAATTGATTTAGTTGACTAGTTGGATCCAGATACCAACCGTGGTCTATACTTAGCACAAACAGTAAGTCAATTTGTGTCTGGTAGATTTATTTCTTTGTTGTAACAATGCTTCTTGGCAATAAATCTTATAGCGGGCCCCTGACTGGCAGCACTTGCTCAAAACCAGTGTCAACAACATAAGCTGTTTGGCAGAGATGATTTGGCAAATTTTCCATGAACACAACCCACATACTCAGCTCTACTGCTCATCCCACAAATGCCACTGGCTTTCCAATGGGATGAGACTTATTACCAAAACGTATTACAATAATCTAACAAACACTATTTCCTTGGTTGTGTGCAAAGTTTAAGATTTTTAATTTTATGCAAAACAGAAATCCTATTTTCATGTGCAGCTTGACAAGGTAAGATATTTTTATGCAAGAACGACCTCTTAAGTCTCTGAACTTTAAGATGTAAACAAGAAGCACCAGTTCCTCTTGACACCAATTTTAAGTATTTAAAACTTGCATTTTATTACTTCATGTAAGAGCTTTTAATTAAAAGTAGGTTTGAGTTCTATACAGAAAACAGATTTTTCCAAGAATTCAAGTACAATGAAAACATGTACAGTTAATAGAAAAAAAGCTCAAATTTCATGTCATACAGGTATCAGTGATAATTACATGATGATTAAAAACAGCACCAGTTAGATACACTGACCATGCATCGCAGTGGGAGACGTACAAAAAGGCACACAGTCTGACCAGCCCAACAGGTTCACACACACCCTCTCTTCTTTCTCCCTGTCCACAGTGATTAAGGTCTGTCTTGTAAACATTATAAAATTTCATTAACAAGTTTTTTTTACAAAAAGTATCTGACTGTGGCGTTGAGGTGGTGAGCTGATCTGTGAGGTGTAGCCCACTCGTCACAAGTGGGATCTACTGATTAAAACCTGCGTTCCCATCCCGTTTGGCTCCGTCGACATCCAGCTGGATCATAAAGTCTTCCTCTTATTGTCTCCTCCCTGGCTCTGACTGACATCTGCACCAAGAGAAACAATAAAAAAGGAACAAACTTAAACCAGGGGGTGAAAGAATCGTGGAACGAAACATAAAAGTGATGGGGTTTACAGCACAGACAATTCCAGGACGACGCGCCGCCACCAACAGATGAGAGAACAAGACCGGACGACCCGAAACACAGAACAGCACGTGAAAAGAAAGAGCAGGAGAGAGAGGGGGGAGGGGGAACTTGAGGAAGATTTTACCTGAGAAAGCGAGTTGCAAGTGAGGAGGCAGAGCAACCTGAGACCCTGACTGGAGACTCTTATACAGATCTGAGGAGACAGGACAGGGCGGCGAGGGAGGAAGGAACAAACGCCAACAGAACAAGGAAGCAAGGAGGAGGAAAGAGTGGAAGTGTCAGCTCGACAAGAAGGGATGATTTTTATTTATTTAGTTTTTAACAAAGAAATTAAGTGCCAGATGTAGAGAAAAGAGAAGATTTGGGAGATGAAGCAAACAAAATGAAATTGTGCCTCACATTAATAACATTTAGCTTACATTCAGACAAACATAAAAATGATTTTAACACACAACACCGAACAGAGCCTGAACACCCCGACAGGAGCGTCTCGAATCAAACTCGTTCACATCATTTCCTTCTGAGGCGAGTGTCTGCCCATGTTCGTTACTCACTCTGGGTCAGGGTGGAGAACGCTGCGTTGCTACTGGCTGCTGAGCTGCTCGTCGCCGGACTGGAGCCTCCCGTCCCGAGCTGAGGCAGGTTCATCATGGAGGAGAACTGGAACGGCAGTGACACAGGCACCAGACCCCCCAGCATCCCGAACCCCAGGGGAAGAGATGAGGCCGAGTTGAGAAGACCGCCACTTCCTGTAGTGGAGACCTGAGCAGGGGACAGTCGAGTTGTAAAAACATGAGGTTTTGGTGCCCGAGGCCTTTTGTTAGTTGATTGTCTTGTGTTATTCCTGATAAACATGTTAAATATTTTTGTCTTCAGCAACAAGCTTCACAAATTGGTCAGTGGGACAAAGTATCCTTGCATTTCCACCATTTCCTCAAAAAAATCCCAGTACAGAGGTCTAAACGGTCTGAAATATGAAGCTACAAGAAAGTTCAGGAGCATTTTCAATGCATACAACACTGAAAACACTCGTGTTTTTCCACTCAGACCTCTCCTGCAACTCACCTCATAAACACTTACATTAAAGGGAAAGAATTTAAAGGTTACAAAACAGTCGAGGCATCAAACCACCTGACAGAGGATGGTTACAGCTTCACACTACATAACAAACCAGTTCGGATGGAAAAGATGAGCCAGGGCTTTTCAAGGTCTTCAGGTCCATTATGGTTCTGAGCACACAAAACTCCAATGGCGAGGTCATGATGGTTTGTGGGTCTTTGTTAGATCGTGGAGTCTGTACACACACGCATTTGATCCTCAAGATTTTGAAGCAGGACTGGCCAAGCTCAGTTTCTGGGGGAGCTGGGAGTTTCTCAGAAATGTGGAAAACCTATTTGTTGAGTAGTGTGTGTATGTGGAACGATCACTGCCTTCACACTGAAGGAGTCTTTTCCAAATTAGCTGTTATTCTTCCATGATGTCATGGAGAGTGTAGCAAGGTTGTGGTTGTGTGTGAGGGAGAACTAACTCACACAGGTGTTTGGAAAAGTGGCAAAGAATCACATTCGTGGCATAGGAAAGGTGTCTCGACACGGAACCGGTTGGCTCTGACCCCCGCAGTAAACACTCACCCGTTAATATTAATTAGAACATTTACACTGTGGATCGCCATGCAAATGGTGATCTGACAAAAATTTGATTTGATACTATTTTTGCATGATGATAGCGCAAGTGGGGAGTCAATCTACAAAGATCCCACCGCACCAACAGGAAAAAGAATGAGCACAACACCTGTATTTTCAGAATAATTCACCAAAAACATTACATTTACGGTAGTCAAAATCCTAGCTGTGTATATTAAAACATATATGGGTATATTTATACATACATGCTGTCAAAACGTATCACTCTGTTTGGAAAGCAGATAGCAATATGCAGAGTGCAACGTATGTATGCACATGAAATGTGTGGATTTTATTTTGAAATATGGATTCAAAGACAGACAACAGCGGTACAGTTTTAACTGTTTTCAGTCTGTCTTCCACAGAATTAATTAATTTTGTCTGACCTCCACATTTACCACAGTTTATTTATTACCTGTGCTTGCTTCTCAGAGCACCTCTGTGCTTTGCACCTGAGCAGACACAGTGTAATTGGAAACGAGCGGCAGGTTTGGTTTGTCCCACTGATTATTTGTAAAACACACTGCATTCTGCTGATATTAGTCTAAATATTTTGTTCTTTTAACAGACATGAGTTGATGAATGATGAAGAAAGTCTGCCATCAGATAAACTCAGATTGAATTATTTTCCTGTATGCTGACACCAAAACTAGAACTCATTAGTGGTGGGCACTGTTCTGCTAATCCGCTAAAATCGCAACTAGCCTCTCATTTAGAAGATTAGCTTTTTGCTAACTTTGGAAACCGTTGGCAGACCAATTAGCTTCTGCTAAATTAGGTTCTACTAATTTTAAGTCAACTGACAATTCACAAGTGTTAAACTTTTAAGCCATTTATCCCAAATTAAATAAAAATGACCCCCTCTAACAAGCTGTGCTGGGCGTAGCCTCTTGAGCAGCTTAACTTCCAACTAAGAGCATCAAAAACAAATAACACGTTTAACAATATTTCAATGACAAATACCAAAAGAGATAATGCCTAACATATGTTAGAGAAAGTTTTTGCTATTTGTTGTTTGACTAACTTCAAACTGTATCAATAAAAAGGTTTGATTTTATTCTTAAAAGGGGCAATTTGGAAATATCACAAGTAAGACAGAGCTACAGCTGGTTTGGATTGGCCCATTTGCCACAGATGATCCCACCCACCTTTCAAATTAAAACAGTAGAAAACTAACAACAAGTCGTCTTGTCAGCTAGTGGTTAGAGTTAGCTTCCACTAAAGATTCTTGTTTAGTAGATTAGTGGTTAGTGAACCTGACTTTTTGTTTAGCTGTGCCCACCACTGGAGCTCATCTACTACAAGTTATTTCTCTGTTTGTACAAACCTGTGGAACAGATACGACCGTCTTTGCCCCCTGAGGTGTCCCACCTCCGGTCCTTTGCCGCTGACCTGAGGGAGTAGAAGCCACTGCGGGGGAGGCACTGGTTCCTGAATGCTTGCTTACAGATGAAGTGTTTATAAGGCTGGTGTTGGCGGTGCTGTTAATGGTTGGGGTCTTCTGGCTGCTTGGAGGAGTGTAGTTGCCCTGAACCGGCTTGGCTACTGTAGCTCCTCCTCCTCCTCCTCCAGAGACACCTGAGAACGGAGACCTGAAGGCGGTGGGGGTTTTGGGAGTAAACTGGTGAACGGAGGGGGAGGCCTGAGAGCGAGGAGTCTGAGAGATGGACGGTGAGGCTGAGGTGGAGGTGGTGGTGGTGGTGACGGTCTGGTTGGGGGTTCGGGGGGTGAGTTTGATGATGGGAGGGATGCTGCTGTGGGTGGATTTGGTGAGGGTGGCGTGCATCGGGGTAATGAAGTTGGACTGTGGCTGTGTCTGACCACCAGAGACTGTCTGAGGGGTGGGGGAAGGTTTACTTTGTGAGATCTGGGCAAGTCGAGAAGCCTGAAAGGTTTTGTGGACTATTAGTGGGATGGACGCGAGGCTGTGTGGTCGAGTCTGAGGCGATGTGATGATGACCGCGTCATCGCTGGTGGCTTTACTCCCACCACTTTTCAGGAGGACAGAGAAGGGAGTGGAGGCTCCCGTCTTTGATCCTGGGGGCACTAACGGAGAAGCAGTGGGTGGGGGGCGTGGCTTAGGAGAGGATAATGAGGCAGGTGTGCTTGTTTTTGTCACGCCTGGACCCGTGGGTCTCTGAGTGCTCAGGACAGAGTGTTTATGAACCTGCACCGTCCCCTTCACAGCCCCCAGACCATCCGGCCTCACTGAGGATGTGTTGAGGGCTGGTCGAGACAGAGCCGGCGTGGAGGACGTGTTGGAGACGGACCGAGATAGAGCAGGGGAGGACAACGGGTTGGGGACTGGCCGAGATAGAGCAGAGGAAGAGGACGTGGTGGTGACCGAACGAGACAGCGCCGAAGAGGACAAGGCGTTGGGGGTCGGTCGAGACAGAGCCGGGGAGGAGGTGTTAGGAACAGACCGAGACAGAGCCGGGGAGGAGGTGTTAGGGACAGACCGAGACAGCGCCGGGGAGGAGGATGTGTTGGGGATGGTCCGGGACAGAGCCAGGGAGGAGGACGTGTTGGGGATGGTCCGGGACAGAGCCAGGGAGGAGGACGTGTTGGGGACGGTCCGGGACAGAGCCGGGGAGGAGGACGTGTTGGGGATGGTCCGGGACAGAGCCAGGGAGGAGGACGTGTTGGGGACGGTCCGGGACAGAGCCGGGGAGGAGGACGTGTTGGGGATGGTCCGGGACAGAGCCAGGGAGGAGGACGTGTTGGGGACGGTCCGGGACAGAGCCGGGGAGGAGGAC